GTTATCCCACTTGAGTCCTCTCAATGGGTCTGACTCTTGCTCTTTCGGACACTTTGAGAAGGACGCGGACCATCGACTACAACACGTGGAGTTGTGCGGTAGTCATTTTTTTTTTAATTGGAGTATCACTCGGCTTTTTTGAGTGATTCAGATCAAACTTCACTCAAGGTCAGATGATTGACTCAGATTTTTCTTCACACCTGTGCGAACCCACACTTTGCTTGACCCTGTTGTTTTGAATAGTCAAAAGAAAAGGTAGAGGAAAGTTGTGCAAGTCATGCATGTGAATGGAAAGGTTTGACTTGAGTTTTGAAGTGTACTGGTTTTCTTTTGAACTTGTTGTCTTTGCGTGTTGCGCAGATAGGTAGAAAAATGTTTGGGAAGGACAAGTTGTGCTCCGCGGGAACCTATCCTGTTGTAGGGGACCACGGGATCTACGGCTGGCACACCCGGCTAGAGCGGCGAAGAGACGACGTGACCGCGACCGTCTCGACGGTTCGTGGGGTTAATTTTGTGTCGTTCCTAGTTGTCTCAGAGTTTGTTTTTCTTTTTACTCTTTCGTGACATAGCCGGAAGGGCTCCCGCGCTTTGTAAAAAGGTCGGAGCCGATGCGCTCGACAGATGCCTTGATCTTCAGTTCCTCTCATTTTCCCTAAAAGCTAAGTTCACGGCGGATCGTCGGTTGTTTTCCCAAATTCCTCTCAAGCTTGTTTGTGTGATCAGAGTTCCCTTTTTTTTTCCAATCCCCTTCTTTGGTCAAGCTACGATTTTGTCATTCTCTCTCTCTCTCTCTCTCTCTCTCTCTCTCTCTCTCTCTCTCTCTCTCTCTCTCTCTCTCTCTCTCTCCTTTGCCTTTGTCCACCTCATGGATGCCAAAATTATCTAATGATTCCCCGGTCTCGGTTGTCTCTCTTGAATTCAACCGGATCTCGCACAGACGAGTATTGTTGCATTTAAAGGACTAGTAAATCTGGGTGATCTTACCAACTTTTTTTTGTACGTCCCTTGACAGTTGAGGATTCATGTATGTGAGATTTGTTACATATATGCATAGATTGAGCTAACGTGAAGGTAATCAGACCAAGCTAAGATTCTTCTGATGCATGTTCTTGACTCGCTCTTTAAATGATGATTACCTCATTGTTTGGAATAAACTCACATTTTTAGATCGGTTTGCATGATTGATGAAAGGCTATGGGCGCGTAGTCTTGTGCAGGTTTTACTTATTTGATGAGATAAAGGGTTGTCAATGAGTGGACTTCCGTGGTCAGATCGCCTACGCCGTGTGGGATGATTGTCCTGATCCGACGGGGTGTCGACTTCCCGTACCCCCATCACGTTTGTTCTCGTATAACAGGGAAAAAACACGTATGTGTGAGTGAGACGTACAAAAAGTTACCGCCAAGATCGACATACGCTATGACTTTCCTCCCGAAACAAAGTGCTTGAGATTCATAGGCGCTGATTTTGCTGTTATCAATACCCATTTTCCCCCATATTCTTTATTATTTCCATTTAATGAACTAATGTCATCCCGTGAGTGGCAGTGGCGCCTCATTGGCCCAACACTCTATGTAGCGATTGTCGCCGCACTGAGCGTTATCAGGAAAAGGGGTTCCATTACGAAACACGTGGCGAGGACAAATACAAGGAAAGGGCGACCCGACTGAGGCCGTCCACGTCAAAAACCGAGTCCAACGTCCCATTGATACATCTTATAAAACAACGTTTGCTAACAACTTTCTTTGGGTTGGGAACATGCAGTACTTAGCGCATGTGGCTGAATGGTACACATTATCATATGTAACTATCTGTACCTCCGATCTTTTGCTTGCCCCTAAATTGTCAAACGGTCACAGGCAAGAGCCTATTGGGGCATTCCCAACCTTTTTGGTTCAGTAGGTTGAACTTTTCCATAGAACAGGGTTAACCGAGGGGTGCTGGTGCCACAAGTACCTCGCCCTGCTTGAAAAAGTCAACGTGGCCGTTGACGCATCACGTCGGGCAGGGTACCCACCGACGAACAACCGGGATTCCCAAAAAAACGGGGGGGAAAAAATGAAAAAAACGACGAAAATGAGAAGTAACGAACGAACAAAAAACGAGCGCTGCGGGGGGGGAAGGGTGGGAAGAATGAGAGAGAGAGAGAGAGAGAGAGAGAGAGAGAGAGAGAGAGAGAGAGAGAGAGAGAGAGAGAGAGAGAGAGAGAGAGAGAGAGA